ATCAGGAAAGACAGAAAATCATTTGACAAAATCTATTGTTCATTTTGGTGTCTGCTCTCAACAACCTAAGAGAAGAGGGTCTCTCAGTCTGATAAAGACACTTTTCAGCTCAGTGGTCAAATTGGAACTACTTTCCCCCTAAGATTGGAAAAGTCCTTGCTGGCTCTCTGTCTTCTGGTGATCTCAGTGAGTACAGTAAGATAAAAAGAGACATGAAGACCGGGCATGGTGGCGCATGCCTTTAATCCCAGCACTGGGAGGCAGAGGCAAGTGGATCTCTGTGAGTTTGAGGCCAGCCTGGGCTACAGAGTGAGTTCCAGGAAAGGCACAAAGCTATACAGAGAAATCCTGTCTCGAAAAACCAAAAAAAAAAAAAAAAAAAAAGAGAGAGAGAGAGAGAGAGAGAGAGACATGAAAGGGAGAGAAATGAGAAACAGCAACACTGTCTGTTCACAGATGATGTGAAAAACCTCAAAGAATCTACAAAACAAAAAACTGGTCATGATGGCAAAAGCCTATTCCAAGCACTTGAGAAGCTGAGGTAGAAACATAAAGACCAAACTGGGCTTCACAGTTAAACCCTGTCTCAACCCCTTGACTCAAAAGAAAAAAGTGGGGGTGTGGATTAATAGAGCTAGTAAGTAAACTCAGTGGATAAAAAAATCAAGGAATTATTAAAATGAATTGTCTTGCTGTATGTTAGTTGGAAGTAAAACTGTCAATTTCACTTACAGAAGCTGGAGTCTTAGCTTAGGTGGTAGAGTGCTTGCCTGCATGCATGAAACCCAGGGTTAGTTCCCAGAATGGTGTAAACTGAGTGTGGTGGTGCATACTTGTACTCCTAGCACTTGGGAGCTAGAGAAATGTAGAAGCAGGAGGATGAACAGTTCAAGGTCATCCTCAGCTACATAGCAAGTTTCAGGCCATCCTGAGCAACCAAGTGAAACCTTGCTTCAAAAAGACAGTACAAGCACTGGGTAGTGATGGCGCACGCATTTAATCCCAGCACTCAGGAGGCAGAGGCAGGCAGATAGCTGTGAGTATAAGGCTAGCCTGGTCTACAGAGCGAGTTCCAGGGACAGCTAGGGCTACACAGAGAAACTCCATCTTGGGTCAGTGGGGAAGCAGAGACAGAACAAGCTAAGGGTGAAGCTCAGCAGTACAAACCTTGCCTATAGCACATACAGGCCCCTGGTTCACTCCACAGCACTGAAAAAAAAAAAAACTGCAATGAATGAATAATGTAACGTTCACTGCATACACCATTGCATGGTCCATGATAAAAATCAAAGCAGTTGTTGGCGCCGGGCGGTGGTGTCGCACGCCTTTAATCCCAGCACTCGGGAGGCAGAGGCAGGCGGATCTCTGTGAGTTCGAGGCCAGCCTGGTCTACAAAGTGAGTTCCAGGAAAGGCGCAAAGCTACACAGAGAAACCCTGTCTCGAAAAACCAAAAATAAATAAATAAAAAGGCTGGAGAGGTGGCTCAGAGGTCAAGAGCACTGACTGTTCTTCCAGAGGTCCTGAGTTCAGTTCCCAGCCACATGGTGGCTCACAACTATCTATAGTGAGATCTGATGCCTTCTTCTGGTGTGCAGATATGCTTGCAGACAGAGCACTGTATACATAATAAATAAATCAATCTTTTTTTTTTTAAAAAAAAGATCATGTTAAAAATAAAGAAAGGCTAGCCGGGCGGTGGTGGCGCATGCCTTTAATCCCAGCACTCGGGAGGCAGAGCCAGGCGGATCTCTGTGAGTTCGAGGCCAGCCTGGACTACCAAGTGAGTTCCAGGAAAGGCGCAAAGCTACACAGAGAAACCCTGTCTCGAAAAACCAAAAATATCTTCTAGGGTCTGGAGAGGTGGCTCAGAGGTCAAGAGCACTGACTGTTCTTCCAGAGGTCCTGAGTTCAGTTCCCAGCCACATGGTGCCTCACAACTATCTATAGTGAGATCTGATGCCTTCTTCTGGTGTGCAGACATGCTTGCAGACAGAGCACTGTATACATAATAAATAAATCAATCTTTTTTTTTTTTTTTAAAAAAAAGATCATGTTAAAAATAAAGAAAGGCAAGTGTCTGGGTCCATAGGAGCCATAAAAGCACAAGAGATACATGTCTAGGGTGGGAACGGATGCTATGAGGCAAGTGGAAAGCACAGAGGACATGATTGTCATCTGCTGGAGTTGGAGAAGGGACCATTAACTTTTGCAAGAGGAAGAAGGGCTTTGGGGTCAAGAGAACTCATTAAGTTAGGTATAGAGCATGAGTCTACATGATGTGTTGGAGAGTTGTAAGCAGCTTGCTGTGGCAGCAGTAATGGGATGACGTCGTGATGGGAGGCAGTATACTTTAATGATGGAACTAAAGAGGTTGGGTTTATAGTCAGTAGGGGACTACTGAAGGCTTTTAGATGGAGGAACATCAGTTCTGCTGCAGCATTTTAGAAAAGAATATTTATTAGGAGTAAAAAGAGGGTATTAAAGTTGGGGAGATTATAGACAGAACCAAGTTAGAAAGGAATTATAAAATAAGACAGTAGCTGTTTCTAATATGTATTCATTAGAACATTATGATTACATTTTTATATCTATCTATTCCTTTTATTCCTTTAAAATTAACATTAGGAATCCAGAAACCTTTTGGACCACCACGGGCATGTTTCCCCAGGAGTTCATTATTTGTTTTCACAAACATGTAAAGATTGAAAAGCTTGTGATCCAAAGTTATTTAGGTAAGCAAGTCACACATTAATTTTGTATTATTTTTCCACAGCCAGAGGACACATGTCAACTTTTGGCCAAAAATCTAGTTTTTCTTTATTGCATGGGACACAGTTTTATTGCTGAAATGGGAGGTGGAGAGTATGGGTTAACTGCCTTCAGCACAATTAGCCTCTCTTAAACTGTACATTTGAAACCCTTCCAAAGCACATCATAATTTCCATGCAGTTTACTATGGGAGAGTCTTTGGCAGAGATTCTATTAGGAATGTAAGAAGCTGGCTTGCCAAGATACTAGGTTCTATGACATCTTCATCCTAGGTTCATTTCGCCTGTAGTTCTCGCATTCTTTCTGTAAATCTGATAACCCCAATTATTCCCATTGGATAGTTTTGCTTCTTCCATATCTAATGACGTTTTCTGGGGATTAAGAGTGGACTCTCCCCTCAGAACATCAAGTCCTGTCTGTGATAAAGTGTATCAGACAGAAAGAATCATGGCAGAAAACAGAATAGATCCCAGATGTTTCAAATGAAGAGACTTTATTAATAGATCTACTTATAAAATTCTGGCCTGGGATGCAGGAATGAATAAGGGATAATGGGTCTCAGAAACTAGCTACAGTAGGGAGCCACAGCTATCCTGGGACAAGGAAAGGAAAGTGTTACCAGATCCCATGGAGATCTGGGGACTGTACAGAGGGGCCTGGCTTTCAGAAGCTATATAGTCTTGAAGGGACAGGACCACTTTCAAAGACTTGGCATGAAGCAGGACAGAGTGTAGATAAAATATTCTGCCCTCCAATCTTCTGGTGCTTTCCAGAAACTAGTTGTTAGTCTAGGAGATATAATCTATAGAAGCCAGCCCCTCCAGAATAGGACAGAGAAGGGAAAGGATGGTTCTGGGAGGTCACATGGAAACAATGGAGGAAAGCCTTGCATAAAGAAGATATCTGCGTGTTTGTTATGCTTCTGCCATAAGTATGGAGGCTCTAGAGACAGACAGGCCTCATCTGTGAACTCTTGTTCTGCATTTACTAGCTTTAGTCCATTGGATACCTTGCCTGGCTTCTGTAAGCCTGTGTCCTTATCAGGAAAGTGGGTTAATAAGACCTTTTTCATAAAGACTTCAGCCAAGAGAGAATGAACATACCTGACTCAAAACATGTTCTCCATAAAGGCTTATGACCAGGCTACTAGAAATATCATAACCAGTATATAAATGCTCCAGATAAACCAGATTCAGAAAAGCTCTATTAGATTTGTACTCTTTAGTGTCAAACACTGCCAAGATTGCCATTATACAGTGTTACATTTTGCCATAGGGGCTTATGGAAAAACAGTTGTAGCTTCTTCCAGGATTTGTTATTCCTGGTCCTAGCACTTTGTGTAGTACCCATCAATCTATGGTAGTCAAGTAGCAGGGAAAAGAAGAACAGAAACAACAAAATAGAATTCAATAGCTAATTAACATCTTTATTTATTCTGTTCATTTATAATGCCAGTGCGGACCTTGAGGATCGAGAAGACCACGTCTAAGGAGCCGTTCGATTTTGAGCAGTGGGTTGAAAAAGGTGGGTGTGTTGTTGCCAGCCTTGTTCTGAGCGTGGGTAGATGCCTGGCCCTGACTGTGCTGTCAGTCCCCCTGGGTTTGGGTAAAGAAAAGGTGATTTTAATGATTCTGTAACACAGGGACGGCCTAGAAAAACACAGTTTGTAGTCTTCTTCATGTATTGTTTATATAACAATTCACATTTTCAGAATTTAGGCTATCAAAAATAGAGATGACACATTTAAGGCTTTTGAGAACTAGTGGCTTATATTGACAAGCGAACAAATATTAGTTTTGTACCTTTCCTGCCTGATTAATGATACTGTTTAAATATCAGCTGAGCTGGGCATGGTAGCACATGTCCTCAATTCCACAATTCAGAAAGCAGAGGCAGGGGGAATCTCTGAGTTTGAGGCCACCTTGATCTACATAGATCTTTCTAGGCTAGCCAACGTGACATAGTGAGTCTCTGTTTAAAAAAAAAAAGTTCCTTTTGATAAACATCATCAGCTAAATTGCTATCCTCCATTTAAGCACAAACATACCTAATGACTTCATGTGTCTATCTCCTTTTCTTAGCAAAAACTGTGAAAACAATAGAATAAAAACACGTAAAACTTTAGGGAGAAAAGAAAACATCACCCTAGTGGACCAGCCAAATGTAGATCAATAGATATTACTGCCAGAGGGACAGCCATAAATTCTGGAATACAGAAGATTAGGTTGTAACCCAGTACCTTCCAAGGAAAGTATCAAGAAGTAAGTTAATTTATTACACGGAACCCCGGAAGGCCTAGAATTCGAGAGCAGCAGGTAATGTAGAAAGTGTGAATGAGACTAGATCATAATTGGTTTCTTATTTTAGCAGTGTACTATTCCTCTAGTTAGACCCGGAAGTTGGTGATGGTTTAAGAAACCTAGATTTCTACTTACCACAGTATAAACTTAACTTATACATAAATAGAAAGAGAGCATAAACATATTATAATTCCAGAAAAAAAAAACCCAACCTAAATGTAAAAAAAGAATTATTTATTTAATGTGTATGGATGTTTTGTCTACATGTATATCTATGCACCACATCCATGCCTAGTGTCCAAGAAGCCAGAAGGTAGGCATCAGATCCCCTGGGACTGTAATTATAGACAGTTGTGAGCTGCTATGTGGATTCTGGGAACTGAACCCAGGTCCTCTAGAAAAATAGTCAGTGCTCTTAACCACTGAACCATCTCTGAAGCCTCCCACCCCCAACCTCCCACCACCAATTTTTATATAGCTTTTTATTCTATATGTAGCTTAGGCTGGTCTGGAGCTTATTATAATCAACCCTTCTGCCTCAGTCTCCTGAGTGCTGGGATTCCGGTGTGTACTACAATACCAGGCTAGAAGGTAGAAAACATTTATTGCTGGGGAGCATACCTAGAGAAGAAGGCACAGGGAAACGGGACAGTAGTTCTCTATTATCCAGGAAAGGCATTAAGAAGCAGAAAAAAAGGCTCCAGGATCTTACTTTCCAAAGTCTTCCCCTTTGGTCCTGGGTAGCTTTTGAAATTCTGTACATTATTTGGCACAAATTAATGTCAAACGGTGTTATTATATTAACTAAATAGTTGATGTTTCTGAAAGAATACTCAATATAATTAACTCATGGCTAAATAAATGATTCCAGTAATATGTTATTAAATTTGAGTACCAGGAGAGATCATGTCACAGGCTGTTTTACATCACAGTGAAATTTTCCTGTGGGAAAAATGGCTCCTTACATTAAAATCTGAAATTGCTATTAAGAACTTGGTTTAAAAAAAAAAAAAAGAACTTGGTTAATAAGAGGGGCGGGGGCTTCTGCATTTTATCAATTCTTGCTTTATATTTCTTTAGTATAATTTATACTTGCATTGTCTTTTGTTTATACTCACTAGAGGTATTTTATAGCTCATTAGTTTTTTTAAAGTCATATATCTTAAATCAACCCCCAAATAATGATAATTCCTTTAAATCCCAGCTGTAACTTATAGTTTGCCATATAATCACATTTTGCTGGGCACAAATTTCCATAGCTATCCTTATATATTTGAACCTTAATCTATTTCTATTAAATTTGTGTTTTAGATTTAGTACACACAGAAGGGCAGCTTCAAAATGAAGAAATTGTGGTGAGTGAACATACCCTGTAGGGATAAGATTATCTTTAGTGAGCCCAATTTAAATTTTAAATGTTCCTAGTATGAATTATTCATGATGAATATCCTCATGGTATTATCAGTTCTTTGCCTATTTAACCATTAGAGATTATTCTCAATGATATTATTAGCTAAATGTATTATTAATTAGGCTCTTTTTTTTTTTCAACCAATCCTGGAGAAAGTGGCTACATGGATACAGCAATTGAATTCATTTATTTGTTTTATTTTGCTCAATCATTTATTTTTACAGTATTTACTTTTTTCATTTGATTCTTTAGGCTGTTTAGGAGACTAAAAGGGTTGAGATGTCAAAGTTGGATGTTAATTGCACGTGAAAGGACAAGAGAGGTTTAGATAAGGGACTAGAGCATAGGATCAGCAACAAATAAGCCAGAGAGCTGAGGCGGAAAGAGAACCAACCCGTGCTTGCTGACAGCACTCCACTGGGCTCTCCTGTCAAGTGAGTGAATGCCACGGACCAGTGGACGGACGGACGGACAGACGGACGGACGGAAGGAAGCTGCTGCTTCATCAGGAGTCCTCTACCTCTGCTAGTTTGTCATGCCCTCGTTAAACAAACAGGAGCTAGTCAAACACTCCAAGTGTGTTCAGGTGCCAGTGTTGGTGTACTGCTGCCCTCCAGGAGGCAGGATGGGGGGCTGGAGGCCACGCACCCCTTTATTGTTGTCATAGCAGATCGACTCCATTCATTCTTCTGCTGCTAACCATAGGCCTCAGACGTTACAACAAACATGTGTGGAAAACCTTATCTTTGTAAACTTCATATTCTATTCCAAGCTTTATAATGATGTTTTAAGGTACTGTAAATGTACTTACATACATTTAAGCTAATTTATTTTTTCTGTCATTATAAGTAATTCATAGCGAACATTAATATATGCTCTGGGCGTTATGACCTTCACATTTTTTTTTCTAGGATTAAATTTCATGGAATGGAATTGCTGGGCACAAGAATAATATATTTTATGGCCTTTTACATATATTGCCAAATTGGTTTCTAGGGAAATTATATAAATGTGAAAGTATAGTCATGCTTCAGGATAGTGTATTTCCAAGGCATCACTAACTGACAGAAACTGCTTGGTATGATTAGTACTTTAGAAAGATACTTGTAAAACAGAGCTGCTCAGCAATGTACATTTGTAATTTATAGTCCTCCCACTGTTTTTCATAAGACCGTGAGTGATAGATGCCATGCTGGATCACTCCCAGACAACTACTAGACGAAGCTGGCTTGTCTTCTGAACACGATTATATTTTGTTATATGTTAGAAAGTTACTCTTCAGGCCGGGCGGTGGTGGTGCACACCTTTAATCCCAGCACTCAGGAGGCAGAGCCAGGCGGATTTCTGTGAGTTCGAGGCCAACCTGGTCTACAGCTCGAGATCCAGGACAGGCACCAAAACTACACCGAGAAACCCTGTCTCAGGAAAAAAAAAAAAAAAAAAAAGAAAGAAAGTTACTCTTCGTCAAAGCCGTTGTTCTACCAATTGCCTGTTAATAGTTTGCTAGGATTGCTAAAAGCATTCATATTTATTTTTTTCTCCTTACAGGCACGAGATGGCTATGCCACTTTCTTGAGATTCATCATTGTTTCAGCCTTCGATCATTTTGCATCTGTGCATAGCATTTCTGCAGAGGGACTGACAGTCTCAAATCTTCCTTAGTAATTACAACAAAATGCTCTGAACTACTTTTAAAATATATTTATAGAAACACAAAGTTATCTTTGATATGTTTACTATTAAAGAGATTTGTATCACTCTGTTTCCATATTTATTCATATTTTCTTCATTATTTTTGGCAAAGAAATTATGGTTACATGAATAGGCAGTGTTGGAGGTGATGAGGAAATTTTGACTCAGTATACAGCTTACTCAAGGAAATGACTCTATGTAAAAACTTACAATTTATTGTGCCTCCATAGCATCTACTATAGGGCTTGTCTGCATTAAGTTTCTAATCTATTAAGGGATTGTTGCAAAAGCTAAGTGAGCAGTGTAAGCAGTCCACAGTGTAGGAGGCTAGGCGAGGAAAAGAACTTGGGAA